CGTCTTTACATGTTGCTTGTCCTGGCGGTGGCTGCAGTGTCTCTCCCCCTTCTTCCTGTTTCCCCAATTCTCCTCTCTCCTTGTCCCGCCTATACTTCCTGCCTGGTCACTGGCCATCAGTGTTTTATTTATATAGAGCGATATCCACAGCATGCACCCGTGTATTTTATATGAAACATAAACCCATCTGTATGTACCTAATTCCTAGAGCGTATGTAAGAATCTGAAGGAGGAGGCTGGGGTAATATCTCAGTGGATAAAGCACTTGTTCTACAAGCTTGAGGACCTAAGTTCAGATCCCCACAACCTATTCAAAGGCAAAGAGGTGGTAATAGTCACCCATAGACCCATGCTTTTGTGATGAGGTGGAAGCAGAGACAGGAAAATCCCCAGCAGCTGGCCTGGCATATGAACAGTAAACAAGAGACCGTGAAGCAATGTGAAGTAGCCCTAGTACCCAACACCTGTGCCTCAGTGGACACACTCCCCACCTAACACACGCTGTAAAGAGCAGAATCACCTCTAGGTGGAGACATGCCTTTATCTCTTTTCTTAATCCACTGGGGTAGGTCAGGGACCTGGCTAGAGGAGCACTCCTCCCCAGGGCAAGCAGATCCACCTTAAGATAATGTGGGTTTCCTTTCCAGAATTCCTGTGTTGTCCTCCCCCCCACCCCAGTGTAGTCTAAAAGAGGTTCAGCGGTGATGCCCACCTTTGGGGCCTGACTTAGAAAAGTGGGACTATTTTTTTTTTCCTTCTGTCTTTTTCTTTCAGATGCTGGCCAGAGCCCAGGTATGTTTTTAAGTTTCCAATGGACCTGCTGGGCTTCCTCTTCTAAAGCTCCTACCCACTCTGTGGCTGCCTGCCTGAGGCCAGCTAACTGCCAAGCTGTTACCTAATCTTATGTCAAGGAAGGCTTTTGGTCCTTCTTCCCATTGTCTTTCCCCTGCCAGCAGCAGAAATTTACAGGTGGCCTGTCCTGGGGGTCCCCCTTAAACTCTAACAAGTTGTCCTTGAGCTTCCTTTTGATTCTGTTCTCAAATGCTTTTATTAAGGAGACTAAGAACTATAGGGGGGGGGGCGGTGTTCCAGGAATCATATGATGGCTTTGGTGGGACTCCCCAGTATTCTCAATAGCTCTTCTTTCCTGCTTTTTAATTCTTTAGAGGGCAGGAAAAATGAATCTGTTCCTGCATCCCTAGGTGGCATCAGCATGAACACACACACACAGAGCCAGAAATAAAAATAATAAATGAATGAACCGGAAGGATAGGCCTAGGTGTGTGGGTACAGGCCTGCGACACCAGCACTCAAAATCTGCGACTGTTTCCAGCCTTGACTGCAGATCGTGCAGTCACTACAATGTTGATGTCCAAGAAGAACCAGATTGCCATCTGGGAACTCCATTTTAAGGAGGGAGTGATGTCAACTCAGACAGGTGTCAACATGCCAGAACTGTTAGAGGCTGACTCCCCCATTTCTCCTTTATTATTGATTTCAATATGGGTTAAATAATTTACTTTATCTGCAAAAACAAAACAAAGCAACCCAAAAACAAAAGAGAGCCTCCACTCCTCTTATTATTCAACTCCCAGACCTGTTCCCAGAATCTTGATGTTGATACTTGTATTTCTTAAGTGTAGTAAGAATTATGTTCCTATTGTATAAATTGTTGTTTTCAAACCAAAAGACCACAAAGACCTTCTGGAAAACCAGGTCCACTTGACTTGAAAATGAGGCTTTCGGAAACTAGCCAATCACAA